CCTCCCCGCCCGGGCCCCGGCCGGCTTAGAAACACAAAGGCCTCGCCGGCTCTCCGCGTGCCTGCTGGGCGGACCTGCGGGCCCGCCCGCGCCCCCCAGCCCCCCGGCACGTGACCCGGGAGCCCGGCTGGTCACGTGACGCGGGGCTCGCGGCGGTCAGGGGTGGGGGTGCCCCGGGGTACTCCCTGGCTGCCCCCTGACACGTGACGCGCGACCGTCGTGGAGGCCGCCGCTAGTGACATCGCCGGCTTCCGATCAGTCAGTCGGCTTCCTCCAGGAAGCCCGCCGGTGTTGAAAGGTGCGTTTATCAGGGGCCCTGGGATACACGCACCAAGTGAGGAACCTACTGATTCACAACAGCCCGAGGCGGTGCTGGCCGGGGAGACCTGGAGTTTGTCTGGCTCTGCCATTGACTAAGAATCGGCTCTCTTGTAGTAACGAGGAGGTAATGTTGTTCGCAGTCCCATCCCCGGCCCCCACTCCACTCCCTTCCTGGAGTGCTGAAATCATTAGAATAAGTGAATGTGAAAGGCTTTGAAAGGATGATAACTACTATGCAAATGTAAAATGTAGATCGACACCTCCTTTGTTTAAAGAGGTTTTCCGGAATGACTTTTCTGAATCCCTGAACCTTTTAGGATGAAAAAGTTGTGTGTTTTCACGATTTTCCTTGGAAGTCATTCTAGAATGTATACTCTACCGCCCAGCTTCCTAAAATAGCTGTTACCAAATACAAAATAATCCTTCTCAAAACAGGGAAAGTAAGTTCCAACTTGTGCCATAATCAGGAGCGGACCTTAGGAGCAGCCAGTGAAGAAGCCTTTTGTTCCTGCACCGAATACCTTGCTCTCCCCCCAGGCTTCTATGCATTTGTAGTTTTAGTGTCCGCTTTTTTCAGTTCCCTTGTCTTTCTTGCAGACAGGATTCCTGCCTCTGTTGTCCATCAAACAGGCCCAGAAATGGCAGTTGTTTAAAGCAAGGGCTCCTGTCCTGATTCCATCCATTACCAACTGTGGCCTTGGGCAAATTATTCATCTCTCTCCTCTGGATTATATAGTAAAGCATTTAACACAGTGCTTGGCACAGGGCAAGTACTTAACAAATGTTAGGTAATAGCGGCTTTTGATTACACACAGCCCACAATATTCAGATTATTAATACTGTATGAAAATGTATCAACAGAATCCAGTCGTGGATCAGAATTTTTCTCCTAGAATATGCTTATGACAGCTGGGTATTTTTGTTTGTTTTTTTACTCAAAAGCTTTTTGCCCTAGCCAGTTTGCTCAGTGGATAGAGCGTCGGCCCGTGAATTGAAGGGTCCAGGGTTGGATTCCTTCCTAGGGCATGTACTTCGGTTGCAGACTCGATCCCTGGCCCTGGCCCTAGTCAGGGTGCCTGCAGGAGGCAACAAATTCACGTCAGTGTTTCTCTCTCTCTGCCTCTCCCCCTCCCTCCCACTCTCTAAAAATCAATGGAAAGATATCCTCTGGTGAGGATTAAAAAAAATTTTTTTAAAGCTTTTGTTGTGCTTTTTATTTGTTTTTTAACTTTGCTAGATTGTGTTCTGGGTGGTTGGAAGTTATCAGCAGTCTAACCTCTGAATGAGTGAGGTCTTAGCATGTCTTATTATTAACTAGATGCTCAGTGCACAAATTCATGCACAGGTGGGGTCCCTCGGCCTGACCAGCAATCGGGGTGTCTTGGCCAGTCCCCGATGGGGGCCGGCCAGCCAGGGAGGGACCGCAGGAGGTTGGCCAGTGGGAAGGGACTGCGGGAGGGGTCCAGAGCGTGTCTGGGACGTCTCGCCCAGTCCCAGTCCGCTGGACCCCAGCAGCAAGCTAACCATACCAGTTGGAGCGTCTGCCCCCTGGTGGTCAGTGTGCATCATAGTGACTGGTTGAGTGGTCGACCAATCGGTGGGACACTTAGTTTATTAGGCTTTTATATATATACTAGAGGCCCGGTGCACAAAAATTTGTGCACTGGGGGGGGCGGGTTCCCTCAGCCCAGCCTGTGCCCTCTCGGAGTCTGGGACCCCTCAGGGGATGACCACCTGCTGGCTTAGGCCCGCTCCCTGGGGGATTGGGCCTAAGATGGCAATCAGACATCCCTCTGGCAGCCCAGCAGCCCTTGGGGGATGTCCACTTGCCAGCGGGGAGCAGGCTTAAACTGCAGTCGGACATCCTTAGCGCTGCTGAGGAGGCAGGAGAGACTCCCACCGCCACCGCTGTACTGGCAGCCATCAGCCTGGCTTGTGGCTGAGCAGAGCTCCTCCCATGTGAGAGCACCCTGACCACCAGAGGGCAGCTCCTGCATTGAGCGTCTGCCCCCTGGTGGTCAGTGTGTGTCATAGTGACCAGTCATTCCCAGTCCTTCTGCTGTTAGGGTCAGTTTGCATATTACCCTTTTACTATATAGGATAGAGGCCTGGTGCACGGGTGGGGGCTGGCTGGTTTGCCCTGAAGGGTGTCCCGGATCAGGGTAGGGGTCCTGCTGGGGTGCCTGGCCAGCCTGGATGAGGGGATGAGGGCTGTTTGCAGCTGGTCACACCCCCTTCAGGGTGGGGGTCCCCACTGGGGTGCCTGGCCAGTCTGGGTGAGGGGCTGAGGGCCGTTTTCAGGCTGGCGGGTGACTGAAACTCCCAACCTCTCCTTTTTTCCTTTTTTTTTTTAAATTCTGGGATTTATTTACCTTCTATGGCTGTCACTGGAACTGAGAGCCGGCTTTAGCTCTGAGGCTCGGCTCCAGCTCTGAGACCTCGGCTGCTGAAAGCAGGTATCTGGGTTTGTTTGGCTTCTATAATTGAAACACTATTGCAGCTCCAGCTCTGGGGCCGGCTGGCTGAAAGCAGGTTTCTGGGGTTTGTTTAGCTTCTATAATTGCAACATTGTTTCTTAGAGTGCAGCTCAGAGGCCGGCAGCGGCAGGTGGGGAACCTTGGCTTCCTCCATCACTGGAGCAAGCAAGCCTCCTGTTCGCTTCAGCTGCCTGGCTGCCGGCCGCCATCTTGGTTGGCAGTTAATTTGCCTATCGCCCTGATTAGCCAATGGGAAGCGTGTCGGAGGTACAGTTAATTACCATGTTTGTCTATTATTAGATAGGACTAGAGGCCCAGTGCACGAATTTGTGCACCAGTGGGATTCCTCGGCCTGGTCTGCAGGATTGGGCCAAAACTGGGTCTCTGACATCCCCCGAGGGGTCCTGGATTGCGAGAGGGTGCAGGCCAGGCCAAGGGACCCCACTGGTGCACGATTGGGGCCGGGGAGGGACTGGGGGAGGACTCCAGGGCATGTCCGACCTGTCTCTCTCAGTCCTGATCAGCCGGACCCCAGCAGCAAGCTAACCTACTGGTCGGAGCATCTGTCCCTTGGTGGTCAGTGCATGTCATAGTGACTGTTTGACTGGTCAACTGTCTGCCCCCTAGTGGTCAGTGCACATCATAGCAACTGGTTGACCGGTTGACTGTCTGCCCCCTGGTGGTCACTGCACATCATAGCGAGCAGTTGAGCGGTCTTAGCATATCATTAGCATATTATGCTTTGATTGGTTGAACAGATGATCGGACTACCAGACACTTAGCATATTAGGCTTTTATTATATAGGATAGATTAGCAAATGTGAGGTTGTAAATTATGGTGGAGAAATGGTACACAGGCAAAGGGACCTCTGTGCACTGGGAGCAGTTGGCGACAGTGGTGGCTTGTGCTGAGCTGAAAGAAGGGCAAGATTTAAGTAAATTTAGGAAAAGTGACATCCTCTTGAGAATAGTGACAATGCAGGCTGATGGGAGAAGAGGACCTGGATTGCTAGTTAGATGAGAAGTGAAGTGAAATTTCAGTTCAGGGCCTTGAATGCTACCATGAAAATGGTTTTGACCCAAGTGTAGCACTCACTAGATGCAGTGAGTCAAGAAGAGCAAAACTGCCAATGAGAATGAAAAAAAAAAAAAGGGCAAGACTGACTCCAGGGTATAAAATTGGAATGATCCCCCATGGTTCCTTGTGTGCCGGTTTGTGACCCTGGGCAAGTCCTGTCCCCCAACTGTAAAATGGGAACCACCGTGGTGCTGATGATGACACTATGGAAATGAATCCTATAAGCTCCCTCTTTGAGAAAGGAAACCATATCAGACAATCTCTCGTGTGCAGTATTAAAGAAAAAATTTACAAACAAATCACTTGGACCTAAAATATTTTTTATTCGGATACTATGCTGTAAAATGTCTTGGTCTGTGTTGTTTTAAATTTGCAAGCTTTTGAACTAAACAAGAGATTTAGTTAGATGATTAATCTAGATGAAAGGAAGGTCTCAAGTAAGACTAAACAGCTAAGGGGGCTGAGTGGAGGGGGGTGGGGGGGAAATAGGGGACATCTGTTATACTATCGTCAATAAAAAACAAGCTTAAAAAAATAAAAATAGAAGATTCATGCCCCACACAAAAAAAGACTAAACAGCCAAGCTCTGCCTTTTTTCCTAATGGAAGATTCCTCTGTGGTGTTTACCTTCAATGAAATGTAAAAAGGTAAGGACCATCTTAGTGTCAAATCAGCTTACAGTATTACAGAGCTTGGCTTCACCCAACTAATTGTGAACCTTTACATTTATCTGGATGTTAAAGTTTGGAAAACGTATTTTAGATAACATGAAAAGACACACAACTTAAGTAACAGTTCACAAATGATTCTTATTTTTAATTATCAGACAAAATGGGCCTTGATTTATTGCATTCAGAATTAGTTTCTACTAAGTTCTTTGGTCCACCAAATGTAATTCCTTCTCAAGTCACCAGTGACCTACATGGCTAAATCCACTGGTCCAGTGTCATATGTGGCCTCTCGGAGTCAATCACTCCCTCCTCCAGAAAACGCTTTCTTCACCTGGCTTCCATACTCCCTCGGATTTCCTCCTATCTCACTAGCTGCTCCTGAGTCCTTTGCTGGTTCCTACTTTCCTCTCCTATCTCCAATGACTTAGTCCTTCTAGACCTCCTCTCTGTAATAGGAGGAACTACACAGGATATGAGTCCCACTGCTAGAAATTCTGTCTCAGCTTAGCCATTGCTTCCCCCAAGGTCTTATTGGCTATTTCCCCTTGGGAGTCTACCAAATTCCTGTACATTCTCCCCACTGGTCATACTATTTTTCACATCTTGTTTGCCTTCCACACTAACTATGAGCTGCTTAGCACAGTATTCTATGATGTTACCAGTATTCCAACCATCTAACAGGGCTCCTGATCCCATCTTTATTGCTGAGTAGTATTCCATGGTGTGGATGTACCACAGTTTTTTAAACTAT